GATATTGCCTTGATGAACCTAGAAGGTATTGCACTGAATGAAATATGTCAGATAAAGACAAATATTGCACGATTTCTTGTACATGTGGAATCTAAAGAACAAAATAAACAACAACAACAAAAATGGAAATAAGTACATAGATACAGAGAATATTTTTTGAGGGCTACTAGATGGGAGGGGGGTTGGGAGGACGGTGAAAAAGGGCAAAGGGATTAAGAAGTACAAATGGATAGATACAAAATAGTCATGGGGATATAAAGTGTAACATGGAAAATAGTCAACAATGTAATAAATATGTAAGGGGGAAGGTGGGTACTAGATTTAGTGGGGTGATCACTTTGTGAGTTATATAGATCTCTAATCACTATGCTGTACAACTGAAACTAATATATTATTGTATGCCAACTATAATTGAAAAAAAAACTCATTGAATTGTACAATGTAAACATGAGCAACCAATTGTCTATTATATTTCAATAAAGCCGGGGGAAAAAATCACGGTATAGCACTACACATCTACCAGAATGGTTAAATTTTAAAAACTGACATTATCAAGCATTAGAAAGGCTATGGAGCTACTGGACTGTCATATATTACTGATGGGGAATATAAATTGATGTAAGTATGTCAGAAAATTATTTGACCACTAAAGTTAAACATGATAAATATTTATTTGCTTTCACCCAGAAATTCTGTAGTAGTGATTGGGTAGGGGCATAATAGGGATGCTGGTAATGTTCTGAGTGGTAGATACATCAGTGGGTTAACTTTGTAATAATTTGTTTATATATATATAATTTATGCAGTTTTTTATTTCATATCCAGTAAAAATGTAATATTTATTACAAAACAAAATGGTAGCCTATCAGCAAGGTTTAGACATTGGATTTCTCCAGTTGTCAGCAGAGAGAGCTTTTCTAAAAGCAAGGGTGAAATAGACACCCTCAATTCTCTCAACCTCAGAGAGACTAAAATTGTGAGTGTATGCTCAAGGCTTCTATCTTCCTTCTGGCCCTAATTTTGTTTCCTAGAAAGCTGAATGACTTGTTTATAACTTATGCTCCCCTGCAAGAAGTATGTTGACTGTTTATATATGTTTTCACAGTTTTAAGATCTTTTAATTTCTTTTACCCCATTGTGGAATTAAACTGAGGACCTAGACAACAGAATTAAGTAAAATGTGGCAAGTCTCTCTATAATAATCAATTCTCTTTCGGTACCAACAGGCAAAAATTCAATTCAAGCTTTGGGTCCCTAACATTTGGAAATTTATTAGCTTATGGAACTGTGAAGATGTACTTCACACATGTACTTTTAGCTTCAAGCCTTAACTGGTTACAAATAATCTTATCAAGGCCTCTGACCTCTGCCATTCTTTATATTAGCTTTATTCTCAGCAAGTCATTTCTGAGTGCCAAAAAAATTAGCTACAGGTGGCTCCAGGATTACACCACCCATGTAGCTAGTGATCCCATGGGGAAAAGCATGTCTCTTTTATAATAGTACTAACGAAAGTTCCAGGGAGGGCTGAATGGTCAGGCTTGAGTCACCTGCACATTCCTGAATCAACCTCTGTTATAGGAAGATTTAATACTCCTGACTACAGGCGTAGGTCATATCGAAACCCTGAGGTTGTGATGCGGAGGGGTCATGAAGTGGATCACCCACATAAGGAAACTTTCTTTAACAACAAAAAAGGGGAGAGGGTTAGGAAAAATATCGTGGGCAGGCATACAAAAATTACCACAGTCTACTACATTTCCTGAAAGAAAGAGTTTATGAGCACTCACCCTATAGTCTTATATCCTGCTGTGCTGATTTCCTTGGCCCATAGCTACTTAAATTAATGAGTATATCATATTCAAAAGCCAGGAGAATGTTTCAACGTGGGAGTTTGGTAAAAGGATTCCCAGTCCTCTCTTTGGTTTCATAAGTACATCGCCTTGTTCTGTTTAAAGCATTTGGATATGATTTTAAAAAATGACTAACAAAATGCCACCAATTTATTTCCACAACTAATAAAATGTTCAAGAGTTGGTAAAAAAATCAAACTCTTGGTGACTGTGCCATTAGAATCACAATAGATTCTTTTGAAGAAATCCTCGCATCTTATCCTCAGCAGGACAAGTAGCTCTTTGCTACCCAGAGATTAACTTGCCTTAGATAATACTGATTTCTGTTCTATTTTCACATTGGAATTCTGTTCATAATTTATATTTTTAAAAATTGCAGCATGATCCATACCTCAATTTACCTAGTCTCTCACATGATGTTTATTAGCTCAAGGTTAAAAATAGTCACAAAGATCAGATCAAAAAGACTACTGCATATACTCTTTGTTGAACTTTGAGCTAAATTAAACATTATACAGTTCTAGATATTGACATTAGACCTGCTATGCATGGGCAACCCTCAGTTAGTTATGGAGTTGGTTTAAAGACTTGGTATGTGTTAAAGGCTACAGCTTTTCCCTGTCATGTAAGAAGACTGCTCACCTGCAATCTCCCCTTTAACCATGGCATCTCCATGTGGACTTTTTTTCCCCAAGAGAATGCAAGAGCGAAGAAGAGGTGAGGAAGAGTTTTATGATACCAACTTCTTTCCTTTACCAAGAATATCTGAGAATAGCCTCAACTTTTACACACTATTGAGAAAGCCACAAAAGTGGACAATGCCAAGACACTGAGACGAGAGTATTTGAGAGGTTACCATTCATTATTTCAATAAATATTGAGTACCTGCCAGGTTCGATAATAAGCACTGACTTTACAGGGGACATGAAAAAGTCCCTGACTTTAAAAAAACAAAAACAAAAAAACACCTACAGCACCTGGTATTCCTAGGTGGTCTCCCATCCAAGTACTAACCAGGCCCGACTCTGCTTAGCTTCCGAGATCAGATGAGATCAGGCACTTTCAGGGTGGCATGGCCATAGACAAGTCCCTGACTTTTAAGACATGCCAGTGGGGAAGACAGACATAAATAAACTAAAACAGGGTAAGGGACAGAATAGCAGAACATGCTAGTTTAGACATGGTGGTCAGTGAAGGAGGTAACATTTCAGCAGAGATTGAATTATGTGAGAACGTTAGCTGAGCACTTTGGGCATAGAAAATAGCAGAGTGCAAAAGCCCTGAAGTGGAAATGTAGTTAGTGTTAGTGCAAGGAAACCACTTCAACTAAGTGAGAGAATAATACAAAATGAGGATGGAGAGGAAGATGGAGGCCAGGATATACAGGGCTTGTAGAATATGGTGTGGGTTTTGGATTTTATTCTAAATGTCATGGTAAGGCATTTTGAGCAGGGAAGTAACATGTTCAAGGTAACTTCTGAAAGGATAACTAACGGCGAGGTGCAGAAAAAGCTGTACAGCAAATTGTTCTAGTCAGGATCCAGCATGGAAAGAGAAAACACTCTAGTTATTTCAGGTAGAGGGAATTTTAAGAGTAATAAATGTCAAAAGGAAGAATAGGGTGATATAGAAGATTAGAAGCTACTAAAAATACCCCTGCTCCTATGCCATTTGTTGATGCTGTCACCGTCATCCTCTATTTACTAGAGGTGCCACCTTGACCACGGAAGGAACTGCTAGAGTCAGGAATCATCCTGCTTCCACTTCCAATAGAGAAATGGCTGGTAACTGCTGCCCTATTGAATCCAGAAGCAAAAGTTACTTTCCCCCTCCTGCCTTCTAATTTCCTGCTCATGCCTCCTACTGGTAGAGCTTCATTGGAAGCCAGGTGACATGAGAACCTGGGACAAGTAGTTTATACAATCTGGGTCTCTGTAGTACAGAGTATAAGATGGCAAGTGTAAAACTAAGAAGATACTGATAAATAACCTGCATAGGGTCGAGAGTAGAAGCATGGAAACCAGTAGGATGCTAGTGCTATATATAGTGCAGGAGAAAATGATTATGGCTTGGACCAGGGTAGAAGAGGTTGGATTCAATCGTTTTTGTTTTGTTTTGTTTTGTTTTTTTTGAAGATAGGGCCAAAGAGAAGAATCAAGGATGATTTCAAGGACTTTGGTCTGAGTAAATGGGATAAAGGATGGTACCATTTATTGAGGCTGGGAACACTGTTGGAGGTGTACTTTGTATTTGTTCAGTGGATGAGGGAGGATACATCAAACGTTCTATCTAAAGTTAACTTTAAGATGCTTATTATATCTTCAAATATAGATAAATAAGATGTAATTGGACATAACCCCTTGGAGTTCAGAGGAAAGGGTAGGACCAAAGGTAGAATTTAAAGCATTTTCTGACCACTGCCCATGGGATTAAATGAGTGACTGAAAAGAAAAGAGCCCTAGGCACCTGAATACTTAGAGGTCTGAAAGGGAAGAAAAGTCCAGCAGAGGAAAACCCAGAGAACTCTCAGTCAGGGAGGTAAAAAGAAAACCAGAAGAGTGTAGGGTGATGAAAAAAGAAGCAAAGGCAGTATCTCCCGAAGATGGCAATGATCTGTTGTGCTGAGTAGAGTAAAATGAAAACTGAGAACTACCTCAGTGGATTTGGCAACTAGGAAGTAGGTAAATTGGAGCGGAGTGGGTTTCCTCTTTGGAGGAGTTCTACTATAAAGGGAAGCAGAAAATAGGAAGGTAGCTAGCGGGTGACATGCAGCCCAGGAAGAACGTTTTTAAAGGCTGGGCAATGATATCGTTCGCACACTGTGGGAAATGATCGCCATGCTAGCATAGTAAGAGATGAAGTCCTGACTTCCTGCTCTCAGGGGACTAACCTTAGAGGGGTTTCTGGAAATCCGTCCAGGCTGTATAAAGTCAAGGCAGCTAACAGAAGGAGGTGGGGCCGCAGGGGCCGGAGACGCTGAGGCAGCACTGGGTGACAGCAACCACTCTACACAGACGCAGAGGCCGGGCCAATGACGCCCATGGCATTTGGACATGCCAGGCCTCTGGCCGCTGTCCATTCAGTCACATGATAGCCACGAAATGGAGGAGAGATGAAGAACCCCTCTCGAGAGCTTCTGTGTGCGTGGGCCGCGTTCTGTCCCGGTGGCGGGGCACTTACTGCCTTGCACCCGCTTCTCTTCAGCGCTTCGGCCACTCGATCTCCGCGCCTCAGCTCACTTCTCCGGGACTCTTCGTTCCCGGTCCAGGAGCCACTCATCCGCCGGCAGCATTCCTTACATCCCACCCAAGGTTCCAGGGAGTGGGCGGGGCCGGCGTCCGGCTGTCGAGGTCACGTGTCCCACTCCGACCAATAGGCGCGCCTCCCAGGGTCGAGCCCAGCCCCGCGGGCTGGGTGGATCTCGGGCAGTTGGACGCCGCCGGAACAGAGGACTTCGTCGGGTCATCGGGAGAGCAAGGTGTGGCTTTGGGTCCGCCGTGGGGGCCCACAGACGGGAAGGGAGAAGAGGAACGGGAGGTGGCGCTCGCCCGCACTGGGGTCCTTCAAGCTACAGCTACTGCGTCGCATCCCCCGCCCCCGACTTCCTTTTTCTCCTTAAGGCAAGGCCATGGAGCGCGAGGTCCAGCGGGCTCGCATCGCTTTCGGGTCCGGCAGGTCGCGACCCTTGAGGTTCCGGCTACAGCAGCTCGAGGCCCTGCGCAGGATGGTGCAGGAGCGCGAGAAGGACATCTTGGCGGCCATCGCCTCCGACTTGTGCAAGGTATTAGCGAGGCGGGAGGAACCGAGACCGCTGTCTCTTGCCGCCCCACTTGGGGAGTGCATTCTGCCTGAGCTTTTGCATTTCTTTCTTTATTTTTGATTACGCAAGCACTGCAGTTCTTTTACCTCCACCAGTACAAATAAAGCAAAAATTTCCCCTGACTTTTCTGATCTTCCTACCTTGCTTAAACCCAACGCTTTATGTGTTTTCTGGTCTTTGTCATTACTCTTTTGTGAATGTTTTTCTTTATATTTTTGCCTGTTTTTCTGTTGCATTTATGGCCCTTTTCCCGTAGGAATTTTTTGTATATTCTGGATTTCGATAAATTTTTTCAGCGTAAGATATTGCAGGTAGTTTTCTCTGAGTCTTTTTCTTGTCTTTGAACTTTGTTTGTGGTTTCTTTTGTCGACAGAGGATTTTTTGGTTGTCGTTGCACTTAAAATTTCCTCCACAACTTCATTTTAGGTCAGTGTTCCTCAAACTCCTGTGCACTGGCGAATCACCTGGGGATCTTGTTAAAATGCAAATTATGGTTCAGTCGGTCTGGGAGGGGGTCTGAGATTCTAAGTGTGTAATGAACTCCCAGATGATTCTATGCTGCCTGTTTTGGAACGAAGCTTTGAGCAGCAAGGTTTCGGGTAGTGTTTAGGGTATAAATATATTCCCCTATATTTTCTAATAATCTTGTTTTTACCCTTTATCTTTATTCCAGGGTTAACAAGACCTTGCTCTGGCTTTGTGAGTCTCCTTTTCTCACTGCACAAC